TGGTGACCCTATATAGGGTTTCCAAAGAGCGGATGGTGAGTTTGAACCACTGATCTTGCAGTTGAAACTGACTTTACAGTTCAGTGCTTACTCTAGAGCACCATACCAGGAAACCCTATGGGGAAGCTCTACCCTGTCTCATAGGATCGCTGTAAATTGAAAATGGCTTGGCACCAGTGGGTTTTAGTCTAGTATAGTAAATATCAACAGTTACAATCTGCGTTGATTTAAGCTTTTGGGAGTCCTCACCAATTTTTAAGAGTGAAAAAGGAGCCTGGAACCAGAAAGTACTCCAATCGCTACAGTAAAGAGAATCTATTACTAGAGAGATACCAATGCTCTCCATGATCCGATCCTGCAATCCTCCATTATTCTCAGCTGCCCAGAGGCCTTGAATACACTGAGAACAAGAAATACGTTGGCCCATCAGTACTAGGTATGCCCCTTTCCTGAGGTGGGACTGGGGGTTCTCAGTGTAGCACCAGGACCAAAAGTATCAGCATCACCAGGAAATTTGTTAGAAATGCAAACGTTTTGACTCCACCAAAACCTGACTCTGGCAGTCTGTGTTTGCACAAACCCTATGGGAGATCATGCTGCAAGCAGGTGTTTGAAGATCCCTGGGCCAGAATCACAAATTTTGATTGAACATGAGTTGTCCAAGTTGCCTTTTTTTTTTTTTTTTTTTAAATAAACTTTTTGTTGTAAATTAAACAAAAACATTCAACAAATATACTTTGCTATATTACAATGATTACAAACCCCTCCATGTACCATCAATTAACGGTACTTACCTCGACGATTCACATTTTGCATCCCTCCCTGTATCTCTGCTACCTTCATCTTTCCTCTGCCAAATCTCCCTCTTGTTGTATATTCCCTGCCTTGTCATTCCTGTTAACACGTGATTATCCTCTGGTGGTTATGTGCCGTGGAGTTGGTTCTGACTCACAGAGACCCTGTTCAGGGTTTCTGAGGCTGTAAATCTTTACAGGAGCAGAAACCTCATCTTTCTCCTGTGGAACAGCTGATAGTTTCGAGCTGATGACCTTGCAGTTCGCAGCCTGATTCGTAACCATTACAATACCAGAGCTCCTTCCTCCACTCCAGCCACTCCTTCGAAACCCTTACAGGGTTGTTATGAGTTGGAACTGATTCAACAGCAATTAACCATAACAGCTACCTCCTTGGTAACCATCACAGAATGTTTCTTTTATCAAGAGAATATTTTCTTAACTTTTTACAACAGCAGTTTCATACGATATTTGTCTGCTTGTGGTTAACTAATTTCACTCAGCATAAAGTCCTCCTGGTTCATCCATGTTGTGAGGTGTTTGGCAGATTCAGCATTATTCTTCAACCTTGCATAGTATTCTTCTGTGTTCATATAAAAATGTTTGCTTAACTCACTCTTGTTGATAGGTATTTAGGTTGTCTCCATCTTTTTAATGTGTCTCTTATAGACAGCATATTGAAAGATCCTGCTTTCTTATTCATTCTGCTGCTCTCTCTTGACAGGTACATTGAATCCATTTTGCATTCAGTGTAATTATCCATAGTAGGTATGAATTAAGGAGCTCTGGTAGCATAGTGGTTACAAATCGGGCTGCTCATCTCATGGTCAGCGGTTCGAAACTGCCAGATGTTCCATGGGAGAAAGATGAGGCTTTCTGCTCCCGTAAAGGTTTACAACCTTGGAAACCCTATGCAGGGTCGCTATAAGTCAGAACCAATTCCACGGCACATAACAACAAGAAGGTATGAATTGGTTGCTGTCATTTTTCTTTGTGGGTTTTGTTGGTGCTGCTGGTTTCATTGATCCACATAATTGTCCTCACTGAGTTCATTGTTTGTGGCTTTTCTTTTCATTTTCATTTCTGTTGTGCTAGGAGCTCTGGTGTGATGCTGTATGATAAGCACTGGACGACAAGGTGCTGTAGGGTAAGCTGCTCCACGGAAACCCTATGCAGGGTTGTTATGAGTCGGAAGCCACTCCATGACACTTAACGTTTACGAAATCTTTCTGATTTTCCTCTTTTTAATAAATTTATTAATTTAATTTATTTTTTTTAAGGTTTTATTGTGAATTGAGTCAAAGTTTATAGGGCAGATCATCAGTTTTACATTCAACAAATCATACACCTTGTTTCATTACAATGATTACAATTCCCTCCATGTACCATTAGTCAACAGCATTTCTCTCTATTCACGTTAGCTCTTTTTTTAAAAACACTCAGGTATATATAATAATTTACACCACCAAAGGGCACATTCTGCAAGTCTGCCTCGTGGCCACTAACTCTTAGTCCCTCTCTTTCCATGTACCTAGAGTCCTCAGCTGCTCCCTCTCTCCATGTCCCCATCTCTGCCTCCATCTCTGGTATCTTTGCTTCTCTGGGTAATGTCTCACATTCCGCTTGTGCTATTCACCCTTGATGGTCCTAAGGTCCTCTGTTTCTGGACTGTAAGATTAACTGCTCCCCCATTTTTGTTACAAAACTTCTACCTTTTATGATTTGGACAGTCATAATTAGTCATGCTAACAATTACTCTCTGTTGAATCATAAGAATCTTATCCCCATCTCTTTTAACCAGACCCATCTAGACAAGATGAAAACTATTCAGTGGGGGCACTTTCTTCTCTCACAGACTCTTAAACTAAACTCCCCCTTGAAACCTTTTAAGTCAGTCACTTCATGCCTTTATCACCCCCTCATTTTAGGTAGCCAATGTCTAAGTTGCCCATCCCTATCTACCCTGTGTACAGAGGGGATAGCATTGATGCTTGATGTGAAGACTCCTTCCCTCTTTGTTGATATTTAGAGTTACTACCTTGTTTGAACTGTAACGTTGCTGGTTCAAGCTTACTAGCTACTCCTTGGAAATGCTATACAGGGTCACTATGGGTTGAAATTAACTCGATGGCACTTAACAACAACAACAACTACTACAACAACAACAACCTCCATGAGTATAGGTCAAGTTCATCAAATTGTAGCAATTTACCCTTGTTTCCTTTAGCAAAAATTGTTCTGTTCTTTTTTTTTTTTTTTTAAATCTTCCTCTAGTCCAGTTCTGATTATCAAGCCATCAAGGCTAGGTCAAATAGGTACTATCTGCAAGTTTGGGTGTTCTTCTGCATCTCCCCTCACTTCATAGCAGCTGGATGCTTACCTCTCAGCTCTAGCCCTCTGTGGCTATGTCCTTGTCTGTGGGCTCAGGTGTCCCCAAGTCTCACCACACTTTGGACCAACCAGCCCTGCCTCTTCTCTCTCTCATCTGCAGGTCAATGGGAGTCTATGGAACATGGTTGAACTCAGCCGATTTCTTCATTGCTGCCTTTTCCCCTCTTCCACTCACCAGTAGACCAATGTGGTCATCAGCAAGCTTACTTGCCTTCTCATGTGTTCCCTTTGAGTTTCAGTCTTAGACGGGGTTTTATCCTGAAGGAACTTGATTGCTTGCCTTGATGGCTTCCTGGTTAACAACTTGCTTATTCTTGTAATAGCCAGTCATACTGACATTTTTGTTTTGGGATTTTCCTGATGCTCTTTCTTTGAAGATGTATCTTCTGTAGCTCTAGCTATTCCAGGCTGGTCTGTTTGTCCTTTCTAGTGGGAATGTCCCACCTCAGAAGGTTCTGGATACATCTCCGGATTCCACCTAAGGCCCTATACACTGCAAAGGCTCTGCAGGTGTCCTGTTTCACTGGGCAAGTTCTAGTAGGTATTCTAATAAGTTATAGGCTGAAGACGGGCTTACAAGTTTTCTGTAATCATGTCTCCCAATATTCCTTTCTATCCAACTCAAGTGTCCATTTTACAATAGTAGGCAAGGGAAAGCAATATACATAAGACAGTCAAGCATCTTAGTAGTATTTCCTCTCTTTAAACTATGCCTTGATCCCTGTATCACAGAGCCCTGTTGTTCCAAGGTTGAGCACGCATCAATATTTCCCTCTGTCCCATTTAGCCCATGCAAACCCGTCTCAGTGTTCCCTTAACTACTTTGTTCTTCCACCCCCTCCTTCTTCTTGTCTATTGCCCTCCCCATCACCGGAACTATGTTGTGTCTGCCCTTACCCTGTGCTCTACCGTCACCTCCCTCCACTTCCCCCAACCTCTTATTTATTTTGATGTGAAAATGTATTCATTTTCTTTGTGTTGTTGAGTGCTGATGAGTCAGTTGTGACACACAGCAACCCTGAGAGGAGAAGGGCAGGGTTAAGACAAAGGATGGGTGAGAGATGTGGAGAGATGCTCCCATGCTCTTCATGAATTAACTCTTCTCTTTTTGAAGTGTTAGGGAAGCACCTTTGATTCCTCATAAGATTACCCAGTTGTAGCTGAACATTGGGGTCTGGAGCCTGCAGAAAAGTGAGTGGCAGGCACTCTTCCTCATGGAGGAGAGCGGCTCTATGGGCACCTAGGTAAAGAAGGTGCCAGTGTTGAGCTCACCACTCTGTTCTCAGTGAATCCCAATAAAAGTGGCAGCAACTCCCCACCATACACACAACCCAAGGCCCAAGGGACATCTTGGTAAGGCAACTTTGGCTTGTTGGCATGGGGGTGTGGGGATGGTGATGATAGCTAGGAGGCTTGGTGCTCTCTGTAATCACAAACCTCACTTCTCAGGAACATTCTCAGATACCAGGACCCTGGTGGGAGTAAGGAGCTCTCACCAACAAGAAAAAGGGAGGCACCATCCTCTCAGCTAGAGCACACTCTGTGGAAATCAAGTGAGAGGAGCTCCAACCCAGCTTAAAGTTCCCCATGCCACAGAAAATCCAATGCACCCCCACCCTACCCTAAATACACAGACACACAGAGAACTGGACCATCACCTAGAAAGGACTAACTGAGATCTGAAGCCAGTTTTGCCTGTGACATTTTTGACAAGTGGGGACAGAAACAAGTACAACAAACATGGAGAAAAGACAGAAAAGCAATAGAAAAACAGTGGCACTGCGGGAATCTCTGCTCTTAGGCACACGGACTTACTGGTTCTTGGAAGTAGAGTTGGTAACTAAAAAGAGGATTTGCTTTGATCTTCTCCATCAGGGGCACATTGGGATCTACCGGCAGGTAGGGCGTATTCAAACTGGCCACTGCCCTAGGAAACAGAAGGTACAAAGATACAGACTCTATAAGAACAGGCTTACACGACCTTATATTTTGAAACTGATGCTCACATCGTTGTTGTTGTGAAGTGCTGTCGAGTCGGTTCCGACCCATAGCGACCCTGTATAGGGTTCCCAAGGAGCAACTGGTGAGCTTGAATCACTGACTTTGCAGCTCAAATGGTTTTGCACTCTTGTGCATTAGCCCACAGCGCCACACCAGGACTCTGGTGCTCAGATAGGGAAGATTGTATTAGAAAAACCACAGCCGCCTTTTGGTAGTGAATGCTCTGTTGTGAGTTGATTTGTGTCCTCTAAAAGGATATGTTTAACCTTAAATCCCAGTACCTAGGAATGTGATCTTGTTTGTAAATAGTATCTTTGCAGATGGAATTAGTTAAATTACATAAGGTCATACCAGAGTAAGGTGCGCCCTAATCCAATATGACAAGCTATGGCCAGCATTGCGAAGTCAGAGTATTCTGGAACACTTCATTGTGCTCATGAGGAATCTGTACTTGGACCAAGAGGCAGTTGTTCGAACAGAACATGGAAAAACTGAATGGTTTCAAATTTAAAAAGATGTGCAACAAGATTGTATCCTTTCAGCATATTTATTCAATCTGTACGGTGAGCAAATAATCTGAGAAGATGGTTTACATGAAGAAAAATGTGGCATCAGGATTGGAGGAAGACTCATTAACAACCTGCAATATGCAGATGCTACAACCTTGCTTGCTGAAAGTGAAGAGGATTTAAAACATTTACTGATGAAGGTCAAAGAGCACAGCCTTCAGTATGGATTACAATCTCAATGTCAAGAAAACAAAAATCTCACCACTGGGCTAATAAACAACATTCTTATCAACAGAGAAAAGACTGAAGTTGTCAAGAACTTCATTCTTCTTGGATCAACTATCAACATTCATGGAAGCAGTAGTCAAGAAATCAAAGGATGTATTGCATTAGGCAAATCTGCTGCACAAGACCTATTTAAAGTGTTGAAGAGCAAAGATGTCAGCTTGAGGACTAAGATGCGCCTAACCCAAGCCATGGTATTTTCAATAACCTCATATACATGCGAAAGCTGGACAGTGAATAAGGAAGACCGTAGAAGCACTGATGCTTCTGAGTTACGGTTTTGGAGGAGAATATTGAAAGTGCCAAGGGCTGCCAAAAGAATCAAAAGATCTGTTTTGGAAAAAGAGCAGCCAGACTGCTACCTGGAGGCCAAGATGGCCAAACTTCGACTCTCATACTTCAGACATATTGTCAGGAGGGACCAGTCAGTGTAGAAAGATATCATGTTTGGTAAGGTGGAGGGTCAGAGAAAAAGAGGAAGACCCCCAACGAGATGGATTGGCCAAGTGGCAGCATCGATGGACTCGAGTGTGGCAACAGTAGTGAGGTTGGCCCAGGATCGGGTAGTATTTCATTCTGCTGTGCATAAGGTCGCTATGGGTTGGTACCGACTGGATGTCACCTAACAACAACAACAACAACAACAATCCAATATGACTGGTGTCCTTATGAAGAGAGAAGAGACACAGACACACAGGGAAGAACTTCAAATGACCAGAGATCCAAATGAACTACCTAAAAGTAAAAGAACACTAGGAGAAGGCTCTCTTAGAGCCTTCAGAGAGAGTGTGGCCCTGCTGGCACCTTGATTTTGGACTTGTAGCCCCCCAGAACTGTGAGAGAGAAGACGTTTCAGCTTTAAACCTCCTATTTGTGGTACTTTGTTATGACAGTCCTGGGAAACAAATATAATCTCTAAGTGATTGGCAAAGAAAGGATGAAAAGGGTATTACTGTCAGACAAATCAATAGCTCCTTAAATAGGTCATGAGTGGTGGTGGTGGTGGTGATGTGCTGTTGAGTCGATTCTGACTCACAGCGACCCTGTATAGGGTTTCTGAAGCTGCACATCTTTACGGGAGCAGAAAGCTTCATCTGTCTTCTGCGACTGGTAGATCCAAACTGCTGACCTTTTGGTTAGCAGCCCAACTTGTAACCAACTACGCTACCAAGGCTCCTTTAGTCACGTGAAACACCCACACTTTGTCTCAGTAAAAAGTGAAAACCAACAATTACAAGGAATGTTCCATATAAAGGTGAGCTTTTTTCTCTACTTGTCATCAGGCTAGAAATATGAAGATCAACGTTGCTAACAGGATTCTTAAATCACAGCTTTCCCCAGATTGATGTGGCGCTATGGGTTAATGAGCCAGACTGCAAAGCCTTTTGAACTGCAAGGTTGGCAGTTCAAGCTCATCAGCCGCTCCTCAGAAACCCTATACAGGGTCGCTATGGGTCAGAATTGACGGCACTTCACAACAATAACAGATCATTAGGAGTCCTGGTGTGACACTGCAGGTTAGTGCTCTGGAATTTGAACCACAAGGTCAGTGTTTTAAGCTTACCAGCAGCTCTTTGGAAACTTTATGGGTTGGAACTCACTGGACTGCACTTAACAATAACAACAGCACCTTGTTAGCACTCTGGAAGAAAGTTTCTGCTCCCTCCCTCCCTCCCTTACAGATAGCAGATGTGGAAGAGCAACCACTCCAATAACAAAGGATGGCCATGATGAAAACAAGGAGCTCTGGTAGCGTAGTGGTTACAAATTGGGCTACAAACCTTAAGATCAGCAGTTCAATACTACCAGCTGCTCCATGGGAGAAAGATGAGGCTTTCTACTCCTGTAAAGATTTACAGCCTCAGAAACCCTGTACAGGGTCACTATGGGTCAGAACCAACTCGACGGCACTTAACAAGCAACAATAAATCATGAAAACAATGAGAATAAGAGAGGCTTGAAACCAGACCGTGTTTGAGTGCGTGGATACGATGCTATCCTGGACTTGCTATAAAGTGGCTTGGTGGGCAGGTGGGTTGGGACCCTACTTTGTTCATGCTAAATGTTTTTTAATTTCTCACAAGAGAGGGAGATTATATTTAAAGAGATGTTTTGGTGCTTCCTTGAAGATAGTGCCCACATACTTAATGCTTTATTTCCTTTTCAAGAAACACTGAATACAAGCTCACCAAGTAACTTTCTGGTAAACCCTGGTCTTAAGAGTTGAGCTCTTAATTCCTCTTGGAATGAAACATGGCAAAGAGAAGCCAGAGATCTGAACCATAGTGTAAAAATTCTAAAATTACTTTAGAAGTGTTTGATTCTTTTTATTTTCTTACATAATAAAAGACATTATATTATCTCTCTATATATATCTCCAGCTGTTTCGCTGGAGAAAGATGACGCTTTCTGCTCCCGTAAAGATTCACAGCCTTGGAAACTGTGTATAGGGTCGCTGTGAGTCGGAAACGACTCCACAGCACATAACCACCACACCATCACCATAGTCTTGGTGTGGCACTGTAGGATAAGCACTGGACTGCAAGGTTGGTTTTAACTGAAAGGTCAGTGGTTCAAGCTCACCAGCTGCTCCTTGGAAACCATATACAGGGTTGTTATGGGTTGGAACCGACTCCATGGTATTTAACAAACAACTATATATACACACACACACACACACACACACACACACATATATATATATATATATAATCCCACCATTTGTGCTGAGGGTGAGCTTAACAAAGTCTTCTTGTGATTTCATTTTCATAAACACCCTCAAGTTAAAAACAAAGCAAATTTGGTTAGTTAGGGAAATAGAGATGGCTGCTAAGATTGAAAGTTAATTCACCTTTTAAGATTTAACCAAGGGAGGCACAGAGCCAGTCCAACTCGGGGCTCAAATCCTGCCACCTGAAAGCGCCTCTGGATGCTCTGAAACATCCTCCTAACTCATGATTACAACTGACGTGAGAGTGATGCAGAAATCCCATTGTAATTACATTAAACAGCACTTTGAAGGTGGTGTTGTTGTTAAGTGCCATCCAGTCGGTTCCAACCCACAGCGACCCAGAACAAGATTTCCAAGGCTGTAAATCTTTATGGGAGCTGAAAGCCTCATCTTTCTTCTGCAAAACATCTGGTAGTTTTGAACTGCCGACCATGCGGTTCGCAGCGCGATTTGTAACTACTACGCTACCAGAGCTCCTCGTAAGCAAAGTCTAGGAGCCCTTGGGTGCCGCAAATGCTTAAATGCTTGGCTCCTAACTGAAAGGCTGGTGGATCAAATCCACTCAACGACCCCTCGGAAGACTGACCTAGCAATCTACTTCCAAGAGATGGACTCTGAAGCTTGGGGTCGCCATGAGTCACAGCTGACTCACTTGTAACCAGTTTTTGTTCTGTTTTGTCCCTTAACCGAAGCCTAGGAGGTGAAATGATTTGTCACACAATCAGTTCATAGCAAAATTAAAGGCCAGATTTTCAGACTCCCAGTGCAGGGCTGAAGACTCTTTCAGTGTTCATTCAATCCTATGAATCTGACACCCACTTCCCTTCAGTTGTTGTTGTTGTTGTTAAGTGCCATAGAGTCAGTTCCAACCCACAGCGATCCTGTATAGGGTTTCAAAGGATCAGCCGGTGAGTTTGAACCTCCGACCTTGCAGTTCAAACTGCTTTGCAGTCTGGTGCATTAACCCGCAGTGCCACACCAGGACTCCTCAGAGTCCACCATTATTCTCCTGTGTGATTTGGCTACTCAGGCTACTATGACGTTATCTCATTACCACTGGGACAGGCCATGACATGACATGAGATGATTAACGTGCCAATGTGTTACCTTCCTAGATAAGCTATTTGTGTTGAAGTTTTCTGGAACGATTTTAAAGGCATTCTAGGCCTCAGCTCCCAAACAAGTCTTACTTGCCGGTCATGGTCTAATTACCTGACTCTCTCAGGGTAGAAGAGAGCTAAGTGCCACACCAGCATGCCTCCCCAGTCGTGTCCAATGAACACTGCTTGAGAGATACCCTGGGGAAAAAGAAAGAAGACCAAATGTGACAGGTTTCCTGAAAGTGGTTCTGAGACTTTGCACTCTGATTCGTCTCCTCCCTCAACCAGCAATCCTTTCATTCACTTCCTAGGCTCCCCTCAGGAGCTACTTACAAATTCACTCTTTCCAAGCCTGTGTTACTGCACATCATTGCCCCTCCCTCCACTAAGTAAATGATTTGTGATTGTTAAGTGCCTTCAAGTCGGCTCTGACCCACAGCAACCCTGTATAAGGTTTTCAAACAGTGGTGAGCTTGAACCGCTGACCTTGAGGTTCAAACAGACTTTGCAGTCCAGCACATTAACTCATAGAGCCACACTGAACAGGAAAAAGTAAAAATCATTCACTGCCCTCTCTGCCCAAGGAGGCAAGCTAAAATGCTAATCAAGTTATTGAGTGGGACTAATCTTCCCCACCTAACAGATAAGCTAGAATGCTAATCAGGTTACTGAATGGGACCAATCTTCCTGGTTTTCCCCCTACCCTCAAACAGGTATGCAGCCTGGCCATTCCCTGACTCTGACCCCATATAGGCCACTGTTACCCTCCATTCAGGGCTCAGAATCTAGAGAAATTAGCTCCTCTGAGTCAGCTGGCTTAATAAAATCTGAAACTCTGCTTCACCTCTCCTAGTGGCCTTGGTTTCTTCAACCACGAGTCTAAAACTGCTATAACAACACCACGACATCCAAGTTAATGATAAAACCCTGTCATTTTCTTTGGACTGAGACCACTCAGAGGATCCCTCCTCTCTCACTATCTTTGTTATTGTTGTGTAGTTGATGCTTACTGACTCTGTGTAGGGTTTCCTTGCAGTTCAAACTGACCTTGTGGTCCAGTGCCTAGCCTACAAAGTCACACTATCCTTAAATCCAAATTAGCTTTGCTTCTCTCTTTTTCTCCCTTCTGTTTTAATGTCAGTATGGCTTGTTGTTATTAAGTGCCATCGAGACGGTTCTGACCCATTTTATTGGCCCTGTATTGGGTTTCTGAGGAGCAGCTGGTGAGCTTGAACCATTGACCTTGTGGTTCAAACCAACCTTGCAGTCCAGTGCATTAACCCACAGCGCCACACCAGGACTCCCAATATGGTTTACCTCCTCATATTCCATGTGTGATAGATTGAACTACGTCCCCTAAAAGTATGTGTTGTAAATCCTTACCATATACTGCTGGTTGGAGTTGTGATGGATGTGGCACTGTAGGATAAGTACTAGTTCTCAAGGCTAGTTTGAACTGCAGGGTCAGTGGTTCAAACTTATCAGCCTGTCCTTGGAAACCAGATTCAGGGTCATTATGAGTCTGAAGGGCACTTAACAACAACAACTCAATGGCACTCAGTTGCCATTTAATAACTTAACAACACTTAACAACTCAATGACACAATTTACCAGTGGTTATAATATCATTTGCAAATGTGTTTCTTTGTTGTGCAAATGAGCCACAGTTAGCATAGGGTGTATTTTAAATCTCTTTTGAGGTGTAAAAGAGCAGATTAAGCCAACAAACTGGAAGTTGAAAATGAGACCAGGATCTCCTTCCAGAGGACAAGTGACAAAGTCCTCCCAAGCTATGAGAAAATAAATGTGTGCTTTTAAATCCGTTTAAATACTACACACTTGTAGCATTGCTGCTATAGCAATACTAGGTAATTAAGACACCATGGTAACCTTTAAGCAATTATGATTGTAACCCTCTCCACTCTTGGGAAGTTTCCTCCCTTAACAAAGACATCATTCATCTTTCCCTTGCTACCTGTGCCTTCCTTTCTGCTGCTGCTAGTAATGAAAACATCTCCCTTTTATTTGCCACTTACTATGTCCCAGGCACTGTGCTAAGTGTTTTTGTCCATTGTGAGGAATTATTTCAATAACTTTCAGATTCCCACTGCACCAGACAGGCTCACAGTGGTGGTTAGGTGACTTGCCCAAGGTCAAAAAGATAGCAACTGCTAGAGCCACAATTCAGACACAGGTTTCTCCAACCTAAAATTGGGCTTTTTTCTCTACCCCATGCTGTAACCATTCAGCCACACAGAGGTCTTTCAGATCCTCCCCAGCTTCATGTCAACATTGAAACGGGGTTCCTTGCCTCAGCTCCCTACCATACCATGTCAAACGCCCCCACCATGTTCTACACCAGCTGGCTCCTAGCTACCTTCTTATGTCCCTGCAGCTTGCCTTTTCCCCTGTGATCCCTCTTAACGGTTATTAATCACCAAGAATGGTTCTTCCTAAGTCCTCAATCTCTGGCTTCTTAGCAGCCTTGGGCCCTCCCTGTCAAACTTTCTCCCCTGGTGTCTGTGATCCTATGCTTTCCAGACTCTTCTCGGACTTCACCAAATCTAAGTCCTCCTCCACCTCTTAACATCACATGCTGTACATCACAGCCCAAAGGCCCTGGTACAGTTATCAATACTGTCCTTGGATGAGGAAGCCACTCCAAATGGCTTCAGCTATCACCTTGAGGTGGAAGATGACCCCTACTCTGAAGTTTGCCCTTCCTGTGTGTCCATGAATGACACATCTGGCCAGGAACCAGAGTATCTCTTTCCACAGTCAGGCTAAGAGACCATTCTCAAAAGATCATTCAGAGTTAGGGCTGAGGCAGCCACATTGGGCCATATTCTCTTAGTTGTCCCCATCAGAACCAGTTCTACAGCACTGAGACCCTACCATCCTATTTCCCCCTCCCTCTTCTACAGTGGCTGGCACAATGCCTTACTGTTGGGTTGAAACTCATTCATCATCTCAGATTCTTCTCTCAATTCTCGTATCTAATTGTTGTTGTTAAGTGCCATCTGGTCAGTTCCGACTCATAGTGATCCTATATAGTTTCTGAGGAGTAGCTGGTGGGTTTGAACAGTGGGCCTTGTGAGTAACAGTCCAGTTCTTATCCTACAGTGCCTCACCACAACTCCCCACATCTAATTGATGTTGTTGTTGTTATTGTTAAGTGCCATTGAGTCAGTTCTGACCCACAGTGACCTTGTATAGCATTTCCAAGGAAAGGATGGTCAGTTTCAACCTTGCAGTTCAAACCAACCTTTCAGTCTAGTGTTTATTCTACAGTGGGACACCAGGACTCTGAATCCTACTTCTTTTGTAAGTCTTCTAATGTAGGCCCCCACTGTCAGGATCCTTGTTTTCTTCAGGCTACTCTGTAGCTTTTGGTTCTGACCCCATGATCTAATCAGAGAGTTGAGATCTCTGGAATAGTGCTGGTACTTTAAAAAAAGTATATTCTTAAATCACCATTGCTTGGTTTGTTTTATCAATCACAGTTGATTTTGACATTCCAGTTAGCATTCAATCAATGCATTAAAATTTGAATTTATCAAAAGGCATGTAAGTATAAAAGGCTGTGAAGCATTGTTGCTGCTAAGTCTCATTGAGTTGGTTCTGACTCATAGCAATCCTGTATAGGATTTCCGAGGAATGGTTGTTGGATTTGAACACACGACCTTGTGGTTAGCAGTCCTATGCTTATCCTACACAGCACTATACAGGTAACTACTAATAAACTCTGATTTCTATGTATTTACTATTAGGGTGTGGTGCTATAGGGTAAGTATTGGCCTGTTGACCTCAAGGTTGGCAGTTCAAACCCAACAGTCATTCCTCAGAAACCCTATACAGGGTTATTATGAGTTGGAACTGACTGGAGGACACTTAGCAACAACAATAACAGGGGCAGGAGAAAGGGGGAGAGAAGAAAAGTTTAGAAAACGGTGAATTTATAGTGATGGAAAGGTTTATATATAGTGATGGAAAATGCCACAGTAAGTCTTGGTGGTGATGGGTGTACAGCATGATTCATGTCATTGGTTGAACTGAACTGCAAATATGAAAACTGTTAAACTGAAAAATGTGTTATCTAAATTTTTACAACCTTTAAAAAATTTTTTTTAATTATTCTAGAGGGTATTTTCCAAATTTCTTTTTTCGTCATACTCAAGGTTCTCCAAATTTGGCTTAAAATCGGCTATTCCCTGGAACACACTCTGCATTAAAAAACTATAACAAATAAACAAAACCCAAAACACAGAGACCTGTTCTGTAGAACCTCTGTTGCTGTGGTCCCTCCTACCAACCACTCCTGCAAGGCTCCAAGTGTGCCTTGTCTGCCCTTGCCACCTCTCCCTTATATCTCTCACAACTGTTCCCTTCAAAGAATGCATTCGTCTTTTCCTTAATGACCCAGGCCCAAAGAGAATTCTCCAAAGAGATCAGATCAAAACTGGAAATTACTTACCAATTTATCCAGGAAGGTTATCATCTCCTAAGAAAGAAAGAAAAAGAAAGTCAGAACTTAAACCCGCCTTCTCAGATGCATCTAGGTTAGAAACACTAGTCATTTCACTAGCCTTTGAGTCAGTACCCTTTGCTTTCCAGTACCTCCACATAACCAGGTAGACTCCAAACACGCCCAGTGCGTTAGTTAATACATGTCAGTGGACTCGGTGTGGCGCTGTAGGATCAGCACAAGGTTCGTGGTTCAAACCCACCAGCTGCTCCTTGGAAACCCTATACAAGATTGCTATGAGTCAGAACTGACTCCATGGCACTTAACAACAACACAATGCAACTCTAGAGGGTTATGGTCAATGCTAAAATTGTTAAGCTCTTCTAGGACAATAATCAGGGTTTCCTTTCTAGAGTCCCTGGTGGTGCACATGGTTGCTCAACTGGTTCAAGTCTCACCCTGAGTTTCGAAAAAAATGGCCTGGTGATCTACTTCTAAAATCAACCACTGAAAACCCTGTGGAGCACAATTCTACTCTGACACACACAGGGTTGCCATGGGTCAGAACAGCTACTGATTTTTGTTTTGTTTTCCACTGGAGGGAGTGAAGAGAAAGAAAACTGATCTGGAGCACTTTACTGCTTGCCCCACGTTCAGTTTCCTCCACACATACCCTGCTCCAGTTGTCAGGGACAGACAGCTGGCCACGCTGGCCAGTGATCAATGAATGTTGGAGATGTGTGAGGTGCAGGGGGTGAAGGGTTACGGAGAGTCAGAGCCGCAGCCATATGAGAGAGTAGGGGAATCCAGTAGGGCATGGGGTGAGGAGAGTATTGTGCAGTGTGAACAGGAGGAACCAGAGATATGACAAGCCATTAGACTCCTGCAGGGAAGAAACCGCCTCCACAAGTGGCTCTCTCTTCCTAGCCTTACTCCTTTACTTGGCAAGACTTTCCCCTCCCCGCCCCCCCTCCCCCTTTTTTTACCTGAGCCACTGAAAATGTCTATGAAACTAGGTACTGTGCAATCCGCCTCACATTCCTTGTTTCATTTCACCTTCATAAAGAGCAGATGAAGACACTGAGGCTCAGAAAATTTCCACCTTCATGTGGCCAATGTCAGACAGTTAGTAGTGTTAGAATTGAGACTGATTCCAGGTGGATCAGATTTCAAAAATTCTAAATAAAATTTCAAAAGTTCTTAATAAAATGCGTGGTAAAGTGGAATGCCAGTGAAAAAGAGGAAGACCCAAACGAGATGGATTAACACAGTGGCAGCAACCATTGTGAGGATGGCTCAGCACCAGGCAGTGTTCTGTTTGGTAGTACACACAACGGACTTGATGGCACCTAACAACAACAGTGATTTGCAGTTTGACAGTCCCCGTTTGGATTTCTAAGACTACAAATCTAGAGAGAATGGGTTTATAGTTTCTTAATGGTACCTCTTCTCAAACAAGCAACAACTGTGTGCTCTGACACACAAATCTGGGGAGTTGTGGTTGACAAATGAGGGTTTTTGATAGAGTTTAGAAAAAAGCATTTATGGGCACTTGGAGGCAAGGAATATTATGGATCTTAATTCAGTTCTGCAGTTAAAGATCATCTGAGCTACTGTTAATACAATTTTACATTAAAATACTATATTCATTATTTCTAAAAACAGTTTTATTGAGATATAACCCACATCCCATAAAATTCACCGTTTTAATGTATAAGACTCAGTTGCTTCTCAGTATATTTACACAAATGAATCGCCACTATCTAATACCAGAATATTTTCCTCACACCCCAAAATTCCATACCCATTAGCAGTTACTCCCCATTCCCTTATACCCCCAGGCACTAATCTATGTTCTGTCTATGATATGACCCATTCTGGATATTTAATATGCATGGAATTATAAAATATGAGGCTTTTTGTAACTGGCTTCTGCTTAGCACACAGCTCATTCGCGTGATACGGATCAGCACTCCTTTCCTTTCTTTACCGTCAAACAGTAATCCACAGTGTGGACATGCCACATTTTGTTTATTCCGTCATCAGCTGATAGGCATTTGAATTGTTTCTACTTCTCAGTTGTCATAAACAATGCTATTATGGGTACTCATGTGCAGGTTTTTACATGACTGCAAGCTTTCAGTTCTCTTGGGTAGACACCTAGGAGTGGATTTATAAATGATAAGTTAAAAAGGTGGAGCCGAAGGACAGGAATGTCACCTTGTATCTCATGTGTTTTGGGTAAAAAGCGCTTTCTTCAGGGACATGCTGGCTCAAATGACCAGATTTACCCATGTTGGGGCCCAATTCTGACAGGAATCAGGGGAGGTTCAGGTTACTGGGCAGCTGTTGTTATTAAGTCCAGTCAGTTCCAACTCATAGCAACCCTGCGTAGGGTTTCTAAGGAGCAACTGGTGGGTTTGAACCACTAACTGGTAGGTTTGAGCCAGTTAGCAGTCCAGTGCTGACTCTATAGCTCCATACCAGGACTTGTATTGGACAGCAGTGGGATGCAAAGAGGCCTGTCCACGAAGTCAGTGGGCAGATCTTGAATTTTAGGGGTGACCTGAGGGAAAACAGGAGTAACAGAGCAGAAAGAGCAAAGCCATAGAGCTAGTGGAAGTCGCAGGCACAACACTTTCTGGAAACTGAGCTTTCTCCACGCTCACTCCCCTTATGAGATACAATTCCCACTTGTGGGTGGGGAGCGGACACACAGTAAAGGCCTCCACACAGGGCTATCTATGACTTAGAGCTGGAGACATTTAAAATCTTAAAACCAGCATCACCAATTTTCTGGTCAACCAGGAGGCTGCTTCTTGTCTTTCGTGTCTCCAGCCTTTGTTTTTGTGTTAGGGCTAAATGGAGGTTTGGATTAGTCTCACCTCACCTTGACTTCATCTTCTCTGAGATGAAGGTTCCTTTTTTCCTGTTGGAGCTTGTTGTTTAGTGCCATCGAGTCAGTTCTGACTCATAGTGACCCTGTATAGGGTTTCCAAGGAGCGGCTGGTGGGTCTGAACTTTGTGATTAGCAGCCCAGTGCTTATCCTATAGAGCTACACCAGGACTTCCTGTTGGAACTTAGAACCATTTAAAAATAGGCAGTGTGTCACAGTCATCCACACTATAATTCCCTCAGTCTGGCAAACAACCACTTTATCAAAATGGTGATTTTTAAAATTCATGGAATGGAGAGGTGATAGAATGAAGTAGCTAAAGTAAGGAGGTGGGAGTGAGCCCCTAGACCTGGCTGTACCACTGATGCTGTTGACCCCAGTTTCCTCTCCTGTAAAATACTAAACCTGCACTTGACATCAGCAAATACTCTTAACTTCTGGTTATCATTTTAAAATATAAACTCAGCTATCCGTAACAATTTATATCCAAGTGCTATGAAAGGATGCTTTTCTGGATACCCAGGTTTCTAGCTTATATCCAGACTGAAAAGATATTAGAGTTACCTGAAGATGCTTTTTACCTTACATAAAACTTCCATGGAATATTCTTCTATTTCTGTAATGAAAATAAATGTGTTTAATTCACATGATGAAAAATATACCAACCAACTACATGGATTCCTTTGCAAAAACAAATGAACTTATTAAATGACTTCCTAATGTTTGAACAGAAGGTTTTCCTTTTGTGGAACAGGCTTCTGCATCATCTGGGAGGCAGGAAGGAGCACAGAGTCCTCAGATTTAGGGAACAGCCACACAAAGCATGTAGCTGGGCCATGTAAGACTTGGACCATGCCAGCTGACTTCAAGCTCAGCACAGCTGGGCACGTTTGATGTGAAAATGGGAAAAGCCTCTCAGAAAAGGGGTGGGGCCCAGTGGCTCTGCTCTTTGCTCCATCCTTGAGACCTGCATTGTTCTGGAGGGGCCTGCGGCCTATCTGGCTGTGCCACGTTCTTACCTCCAGACTCATGGTTTTTAAATGTTTTGGCTGAGGGTCCCTCTGAAAATGATAAAAGGAATAGACTCCCAGGAAAATGCTTACAAATCCAAAAGTGGATCAGGGGTTCAGAAATCCCCTCAAGTCCATCCTTAGTTAGATTCCCCTGGGAGTCAACTAATTCTAAACCAAACCCACTGCTGTCGAGTCAGTTCCGACTTACGGTAACCCCGTGTGTTATGGAGTAGAACGGCTCCATAGAGTTTTCTTGGCAATAATCTTTACAAAAGCAAACTGAAAGGCCTTCCTTCCAGTGTTGCTGGGTGGGTTCCAGTAATCCAGTGCACCGCTGAGGGAACTTCTGGGATACAAAGGCAAGAATCTGGCCTATACTCTCACTGTCCAGCAGGGGGCTCTCCTGGGGAATAGGTTGCTGGCATCTATTCACTGTGGGGATCAGGGACATCTGGGGTCAAGTAGAGGAACTGGTGCAGTCAGCCTCCTGCTTTCTGGAGGCCGTGAACTACCACCTGTTCTAACCTGGGACTAGGGGCAGTAAGGTAAGTGAAGAGGTTGGATAGAATGCATGGCAGATACAAGATGGCCAAAAAGCCAACCCACCTCGAGGAGCAGAGGACTCTCCATATCCTTTCATGTCCACAGCAAGTACACGGAAGCCCGCCTGTGCTATTGCAGGGATCTAGAAAACAAACAGTTCAGGCCCAGACAAGAGTGGTCTGACTGGTCCTTTGCTTGCACGTCCTCTTTTGCTAACCTCTATCCCCTTTCCTCTAAATGGCTCAATCCAAAGTGCCATATGGCATGACCTAGCATCTTCACCATGGGGCTGGAGAGACCCCTCTGAATAGGGCAGCATGGGTGGCAGTTTGGGCAATGCACAAAATGCCACAGCTAAGAGGGCACCTTTCCTGGTACAGACCTTGCACAGCTACATATTATTAAAAAGATTTCCAGAAAATATCTTGGCGAAGGTTGCCCTTTCTAATCCGCAAAGGCGCCACATGGGCCAGCACTGCCCTGAGGTTTGATCCTGGTCCTGCTCCAGAGACAATGTTCCACCGGAAGGTCTCAGCTTCTAATGGACATTCCTGGCTGGCCCATGCTATCCAGACTGTCCCCTCACCTCGCCCCGACTGAGGTGCACCTTCCCCGCTTCCCTAGTCTGCCTTACCTGGTACCTCCACGAGAACCAGCTCTCCGGGAAGCCATGGCAGAGGCATACCACAGGCCCAGTGCCCAGCTCCACAAAGTGCAGACGGACCCCCGGCTATGGAAGAGAGAGGTGAGTGGACACTGATGATCGGTCAGCAGCTAGCAGGATAGGAACCTGCTCTCTTCTGTAGACCCCTTCAGGCATTCTAGTTAGCTGCTGGCTTTTGCATGGGCCAGCATTCTAAGCTAAAGACCCTGATGTCAGATGAAGGGGTCTGAGGAAAGACAACTGGGCAAGAGAATACAATAAAAACAGGTGGCTTTCATTGGAAAACAGGAAGCCTGAGTAGATTACGATGTTGGGAAAAATAAAAACATGAAAAGACTTTGCCTTCCTATCTAACAGATAATCATATCGTCAAGGTTTCAGATGCTATTTGATACATCTGTTTTCAATATTTTTAACTGGGAGCTCCTTTTATATAATCAAAGTGCCCTATTTCTTTCCAAAGGTACATATTACCAGCTTTGTAACAGAAATGAATGACCACAGTAAACTCACACTATAGATATTCACTTGGAACAATTCCATTTAACTGTATCTAAGACTATTACAAGGACCTCTTGTAATAGTCTTGTGGTGCAGTGGTTAAGCGGTTGGCTGCTAACTGAAAGCTCGGTGGTTTGAACTTACCAACCACTCCATGGAAGAAAGACGAGCTCCTGTAAAGATTTCAGTCATGGAATAGTTTTACTCTGTCACATAGGGTCTCCATGAGTCACAAATGACTCAACATCAATAGATTCAACAGGTAAGACTATTACAAGTTGGTATTCTTTCTTTGAAGATTCACAACAAACTATTTTGCTCAAGAAAACACTAGGCTGATAAGGGACATTTAGGTGAACTGGAAAAAGGTCATAAAGGTATGTTTTACATCCTCGTCTGATAAGTAGCATTTAAGTTCTTAAAAGCCTGCATGCAGCCACCTAAAAAGCAACTGTTGGTCTTTTTCCACCTGTAGCAAAGGAGAACAAAGAGATATGGAAATTCAAGGAAATAATTCGTCCAAAGGACTAAAGGCCCACCGGAACCTCAGCCTCCTCTAACCCAAGATCAGAAGAACTAGATGGTGCCTGGCCATCTAAATGCCAACCATTCTGATCAAGACCACAGTTAAAGGTCCCAGTAAAAGTGTAAAACAAAACACCAATTCAAAAAAGAAAAGGCCAGACTAGAAGAACCCCAGAGACTATTGCCATAAGACAATCTTCTAGCTTCAAGCTAAAGATACTCCTGGACGCTACCATAAGACAATCTTCTAGCTTCAAGCTAAAGATACTCCTGGACGCTACCTTTCAGCCAAAGAATAGACCACATTACAAAGTCACACCCGTGAAGAATGTGCTCCTAAGAATCATCAACTCTAGGAGACCAAAACCAAAGATGAGAAGACAAAGAAAATCAGGGAAACCAGATAGATGGAAACTGGGAACCCAGGGAGGGAACAGGGAGAGTACTGATAGTATTCAACCAATGTCTTGAAACAATCCGTGTATGAACTATTGATTGGAAAACTAACTTGCTATGTAAACGTTCACCTAGAGCACAACACAATTAAAAAAATGAAAAAACACTAAGCAGAAATTTCACAGACCATTCATACATTACAATGTTTATTGGGCTCTGTTACTCCACACATGGGCCTGTCTTAGCACTGACCACTCTACATTCTAATTACTTTTTACCTCATGATATCCTCACTGTGGGGTCAAAGGTCTGCCTTCTTCATCACTGTAACCCTAATACCTGACCTGTGCTCAATACAAAGTAAATGCTCAAGAAATACTCACTGAACGTAAACACATTCTCCTCAAGCACAGACCAGACACTCACAAGGGTTAGCATCCCATGTTGCTCAAGGCCCCATATGGCCTGTTGCCCTGTGGAGGCTTGACCACATCAGTCACAATGCTTTATAAAGTCTAAGGTCAGGTCCATGCCTTCTACCAATTCTAAGAAATGATACATGTTTGGGTAAAGCTATTTCCCTTTAAATGGTGAATGCTCGAACTGTCTCTGCTGATGAGAGGGGTGTGGGCACATGAGGTGGTCTGATACAGGAGTTCTCAGGTGAATGAACAAGAATGCTTACCTTTATTGGCACGTATCCATGGCTCATGTCACTAAGCTTACATAGGGTTGGCAGTGGAGTTGCAGTGTTGAAAAGCTGAAAGTACAAAACGGACAGTGAAATAGATGCCTTCAGCTTCATTCTGTGAAGACTTCTCATAGGAGTTTACAAAATGAGAATGTTGGCACCAGAAGAGACCACAGAGATCCTCTTCAGGACTCCTGAGTCCCCACTGGTGACTGACTTGTTGGTCACTAACCCATTTCCCCTTGTTATTGGGCACATGGCTAGACTACATTTCCCAGCCTCCCTTTCAGCTGGTAGAGTCACATGACCAAACTTGGGCTAATGGAAGGCAGACAGAAGAGTAATGAGATTGGCCCATTAAAACCTCCCACATGCTTCTCTACATTCTCTTTCTTTCTCTCATCTTCCAGCTGGGCATTTGGCATGACCTTGGAAACCACAAGTGGAAGACAGTGGTCCCTCCATCAACCTGATGGACCTGAAAGACTGTGGGAAACAAAGTTCCCAGTTCACCACCAGTGGAATTAGACATAAGCAAAAAATAAGTACCACTTGTTTTAGAATGCTGAGATTTTGTACTGCAATATATTATATTTTGTACTATAATCTAATTCTTTTTTATAGGAGTTCCTCACATGGTCACCTGGGCTCTAGTAGATACTGCCAGGAATGAAAGTTCACAAGCTAACCATTTCATAAAGGCACAATTCTGGTGAAAGTCTTCTCTTTCCAGTCAGCCAGAATTTAAGTCCCTGTGCCTTCCACACGCGGTCCCAGTTCTATGTTCTGAAGACACAAAGACTAACCCTTCTCTACACAACCTACAAACAGACAGAAAATGCTTGCACAATTTGTTCCTCAGGATGGCTCTATAACTTATTAGTATTAGTTTCCCTGAGGCAAAAACAATCAAGGACTCAAAGGCACCCAACAACCACAGGGAGACAGTGATAATTTCTATGACACAGAGTTGTTGACAGGAATACTTCTGCTATGACAAGTAAAGTGGTTAGAATTTGTTGAGCTAAGGTTAGCTACAAAGAAATATAAATAAGGTTTGCATGGCTTTGGAAGCCTCCATTCTTGTCTTAGTTCCATAGATACTTGGCTCCCCAGCACTGACAGTGTTATATATTCTTGCTCTCAGAGTTTCTGATTCCATGTGAGTTGGATGAAGAGAAAGAAATGGCCTTCAATTTCCCAGGACAGCATGTTGATGGCAGTCCTGTCTGAGAGGTGCCCTGGGCACTATGAGCAACCAAGTCCACACACACTGGGTTATCCTCTCCGCTGTGTTGGCTCTTACGTCCATAAACTATAGGTGAGTGACAGGAAATGGGCCCAGCTCACACTTAAAATTACCTGCATGCCGGTTACTTTCTCCAGTTCTCTCAGGGCAGTGTTGGTATCATGGACAAGGATGGTGGCCATTCCCAAATTCCAAGCTGGCTTCAGATAAGTCCCAACATCATCTAAGAAAACAACCTGAAATCCAAATAACATTACTTCTGTAGAAGAAAAAGCCACAGACAGGAGAAACTACCAGGAAAAGAGACATGAACTGCTAACTGTATTATTGTATGATTTTCCTTCAATGAAATTATTCACTATTAAATATTTCATTACCTTAGCAGATATATATATGTGTATATACTAAAAATATTTCATTATATTAGTACGTGTGTATCTGTTAAGTGCCATCAAGTTGGTTCTGACTCACACATATATATTATGTATTAAAAACACTTCATTATATTAGTATATGTGCATATGTTGTTAAGTGCCGTCAAATTGGTTCCAACTCATACATATATATATTAAAAATATTTCATTATATTAGTATGTGTATATGTTGTTAAGCACCACCAAGTTGGTTCCAACTCATATATATATATACTGTATATTAAAATATTTCATTAATTCAGTATTTGTGTATATGTTAAGTGCTGTTAAGCTGGTTCTGACCCATATATGTCATATATTAAAAGTATTTCACTATATTGTTGTTGTTCTATAGTGCCGTCGAGTCTGTTCTGACACATAACAACCCTGTAAAGCGTTTCCAAGGAGGAACTAGTGAGCTTGAACTGCCGACCTTGCAGTTCAAACGGCTTTGCAGTCTGGCGCATTAACCCACAGCGTCACACCAGGACTCCATTTCACTATATTAGTATATGTTTTTAAACACCATCAAGTTGGTTTCTACTCATAGTGATCCCGTATAGGGTTTCTAAAGCTTTTTAAATCTTTGAGGGAGCAGAAAGTCTCATCTTTCTCCCGCAAAGCAGCTAGTGACCTCAAAACTGTCGGCCTTGTGGTTTACAGTCCAGTTCCTATCCTAAGAAGCCACCACACTACCCACGTGTATAAACATAGATGTTGTTGCTAAGTGCCATCGAGTTGGTTCAAACTCATAGCGACCCTGTATAGGGTTTCTGAGTAGCAGCTGGAGGGATTGAACTGTCACTTTTGTGGTTCGAAGTCCAGTGCTGATCCTACAGCACCACACAAGGAGTCCATAAATATATGGAGAAAAGATTGATGTTGTCAAAGGCTTCATTTTACATGGATCCACAGTATATATATTGTTGCTATTTAGTGCTATTGAGTCAGTTCTGACTCATAGAAACCCTGTATAAGATTTCCAAGGAGAGGTTGGTAAATTTAAACCACAGACCTAGCAGTTAGCAGTCCAGTGCTTATCATAGAACACTACACCAGGAATCCATATATACAACATATGTATATATATATGATATACATATACATACAAACAGATCTGTGTTGGAAGGAGTGCAGCCAGAGTGCTCCTTGGAGGCCAGGATGGCCAAACTTCGACCTTCATACTTCGGACATATTGTCAGAAGGGACCAATCACTGGAGAGGAATATCATGTTTGGTAAGGTGGAGGATCAGAGAAAAAAAAGGAAGACCCCCAGCAAGATGGATTGGCAAAGTGGGAACATCAATGGACTCAAGCATGGCAACAATTGTAAGGTTGGCCCAGGACCAGACAGTGTTTCGTTCTGCTGTGCATAGGGTCACTATGAGTCAGTACCGACTTGATGGCACCTAACACCAACAACTATGTATCATATATATCTATATTATCTATCTATAAATATGGTTGATTGGTACATGCCGTCGAGTTGGTTCCCACTCATAGCAACCGTGTATAGGGTTTCCGAGGAGCAGCTGGTGGGTTTGAACCACAGATCATGTGATTCGCAGTCCAGTGCTGATCCTACTGCGCCACAGCAGGAATCCATATTTCTTATCTGCCTACATTACTATTCTCTCCCTCACACACACACACACACACACACACACACACACACACACACACACATGTTGTTCTTAAGTGTCATCGAGTTGGTATCAAGTCATAGCTACCCTTTATAGGGTTTCTGAAGAGCAGCTGGTAGATTTGAACTGGTGAACTTGTGGTGCACAATCCAGAGCTGATCCTCAGGACCACACAATTGTTAAGCACCATCAAGTTGGTTCTGATTCATAGCGACCCTGTATAAGGTTTTTGAGGCCATATCTTGTATAGGAGCAGAAGCACCTTTCTCCCATGGAACAGTGGTGGACTGTAATTACTGACCCTGAGGTTTGCAGTAGTCCAGTGCTTATCCTACAGAACCACCATGCTCCCCATTGAATCTGTCTGTGAACTGCTAGGTCCGCAGTTCAAAACTACCAGCTGCTCTGCGGGAGAAAGATAAGGCTTTCTGCTCCCATAAATATTTACAGCCTCAGAAACCCTATTCAAGGTCGCTATGGGTCGGAACCGACTCAACGGCACTTAAAAACAATAAATGTGTATATATATATATTTTTTGTTGTTGTTGTTGCTACGTGCCATCGAGTTGATCCCCACCCATAGTGACCCTGTATAGGGTTTACAAGGGGCAGCTGGTGAGCTTGAACCTCCGATTTTGCAGTTCAAACGACTTTGCAGTCTTACGCATCACTCTCTCTCTCTCTCTCTCTCTCTCTCTCTTTCCATGTCCCCACATATACCCATTCATTACCCATTCATTTCAGCCAAAATCCTGAAAGTGCAAGATTTAAAGATGATATAAACTTGTTCAGATAACATTAAAATTCAACTTGAAAACTTATATGAATATTATATGAATAGACTAAAAAATATATCTGGTGAATAGTAAAGAAGGCACATAAGAAAACAAATTATGAAGTTATGAAAGGTAGAATAGTGTGGTACTACAAAAGAAATTGTAAATGAAATAAAATAGAGTCCAGAAACAGACCCAAATATAAGTAAGAATTTAGTTTCTAGTGAAGGTGTCATGTGCAATCTTCAGGGAAGAAGGATATTAGTATGACTAATTAACCTGGTATAGCGCTGTAGGATAAGTACTGGACTGCACACCACAAGGTCGGCAGTTCAAATCCACCAGTGTCAGAATCAACTCAACAGCAAGTGAACTAATGCTTGGGGAAAATGAATCCTCCCTTCACAACTGACCCCAAAATGGATTCCAGATGAATCAAAGCTTTAAATTTAAAAATAATAAAACATCCTGAAATTTACAGAAGAAAGCATGGGTGAATCTATTTAGAATCTTGGATAAGGGCAGGCTTAGAACTACAAGCTACTCATCTAATCCAAACACTGTCAACAAAATGACTGATATATAATTCAAAGCAATAATGCTTTAATTCCAGGTGTTGAGATGAGTAGAAACAAAGTCTAAAAGGAGCAATGGAATGGTCCTTGACCCTTGAATTGAGCATCATAAGCAATCCTAATGACTGGATGTTAGGGTTTGAACTATCAGCTTGTGGATAAGGTGGGGTCAGCAAGTGAGAATCAGAAATGTAAGGGAAAGGAATTTAGATTTGATCCAGTCGCCTTCTTGAAGATTAGAGGAGCGAGATAAAACAGTGCTCTAGATGATCTAAACTGGACACCGTATGAAAGACAGCAGCTTGGCTTATATGAATAACTGGTAAGAGATTGCTACAATATTGAAGTCCCTCACTGCACACTCATCCTTTGGTGGGGTGACCCTGACTAGTCTGTGGCTGGGGACAGTCTTTCAGGATCCTGCTTCTTTGTCAGTGAACACAGACATCCAAACTCGCAGCTTCTTGTTATGCGTGTTTTGGCTAAGGTCCTATAAACGCTGTAAACATGCGCCAGATGCCCATCTCTAGTAGATCTTTCTGGACTGAAATGTTGGGTGAAAGTCCTTTAGAAGAAGGACTTGGTGTGGGAGATGTGGAGCCTGCATTTGGCACCTCAAATTCTCTTTGGCTGCAATCTCTCTGGTACATTTTTTTTGAGTGCGGTCACCAGATTTTATAAAAGAGGGTCTGCTGTCAACTAAAACCCAGAACCACCAGAATGAGGTCTGGTGCTTACTTATGGCGATGGGGGATGGCATGTGCTTGTCTACAGAGCTATCCAGGTTGGCAGGGGCATGGAAATGCATGAGAAGAGGGAAACCAGGCCAGGCCAAAAGGCAGGTGGGCAGCAGCTGTGGGACCCTCTTCTCCCTGTGCTCTCTTCTTATGGTCTCGAGTTCTGTTTAGGGGGGCACAAACTAACAGTGGGTCATGTGACACAGAAGTGAACATCAAAGACCACTGTCAAAGGGACAAAAGAATCGAGGCTGATTCTATAGCTAACAGTGGGGGGTGGGGGGGAGTGGTTGGTGTTCAGAAGGTCCCACAGGCTGGCTGGCTGGAGTTACGCATGCTTGCTTGCTTGCTAGGAGAGCGGGAGGCTGTTTTAGTAATGGCTCATCTTCTTCAGGATCTGCAGGAACTCTTGCTTGCTGTCACTGTCTTGATCCGCCTCATCAATCATTTCCTGCAGTTACTCGTCAGTAAGGTTCTCGCCCAACTCCTTGGCCACACGTTTCAGACTTTTGAAAGAGATCTTGCCAGTGTCATCATCATAAAAGAGTTTGAAAGCTTTCAGGATTTCTTCTTTGGTATCTTTCTCAGACATCTTCTCAGTCATCACAGTCAAAAAGTCATTGAAATTCATTTTTCCTGTACCTTCCTTATTAATCTTGTTAATCATTTTCTTGATCTCTTCTTTCCTGGGCTCAAAGCCCAGGGCCCGCATTGCCAACTTAAGCTCTTTGACATCGATGGTGCCAGTCCCATCCGTATCAAAGAGATCAAAAACTTCACAGATCTCCTGCTTCTGCTCATCATTGATGTCTGGCTTGGAGCTCATCCTCTCTTGTTGGCCAAAGCTGATGGACTCTATGGACTGTTGTTATGGCAACGAACATACTGATATATTCTTTTTTAAAAAAAGATTTTATTGTGAATTATGTGATAGTTTAAATGGAAGAACATTAGCTTTACATTCATCCTATCATATATCGTTTCATTGCCATGGTTACAATCCCCTCCATGCATCATCAACATACCAAATGAGACACCCCACAAGTCTGCCCTCCCCTCACCGGTCATCAGCACACAGCCCCTCTTCCTCTCTGGGTCTAGAGTCCCCAGCCACTCCATCTCTCCACGTCATGGTCTCTGCCTCCATCGCTGGCATCACTGCTTCTCTGGACAGGGTCCCGCATTCTGGTCTTCTCCCTTGATGGTTCCAGGGTCCTCTGCTCCGTGACTGCAAAGTCAACCACTCCCCTCCTTTTGCTACAAAACATCTATCTTTACATTTCCAACCCTCACAGTCAGTCCTGATAGTAATTCTTCACTATTGTACCACGTGAGTGGTACAATACCCCATCTCCTTTCATCAGTCCTGCCCAGACACATTGGATACTACTCAGTGGAGATTCTACCTTACTCCACGCCCTATTGAAAACTTGTAAACCAGTCACTTCTTGCCCTTGTAGCACCCCTATTTTGGGTGGTGATGGTGGTGGTGGTTATGTGCTGTGGAGCTGGTTCTGACTCATAGTGACCCTGTACGGGGTTTCTGAGGCAGTAAATCTTTATGGGAGCAGGAAGCCTCATCTTTCTTCCTTGGAACAGCTGGTAGTTTTGAACCGCTAACCTTGCGGTTTGCAGCCCGATTCGTAACCACTACGCTATCAGTGGTTAGCCAATGTCTAAGTTGCCCATCCTTGTCTACCCTGTGTACCGAGGGGGTGGGAATGATACTCATTCTTGTACATTTTTATCTACCTAAAAGAAAGTTACTTACCTCACTGGGGCTGACCTGCAAGGTGTCCAGTACTAACTTGTAAATCTGAGGCTCAGGCTTGACCATTCCAACATGACATGACTCTATGAGGAAGTCGAAGTGAGGCTTCAGTTCGTTCATCATCTGGGCCAGGCAGCCTCTCTGGGCACTATCGTCCAGCCAGTTATTGGTGAGGATGCAGGTTGTATAACCTGAATGAGAAGTCACCAGTGAATGAAGGAAGAACCTTGCTCCAAGAAGCTCAAGATGCCCCACAGGCAGTTCTCAAGATAGGGCCAAGTGGGGTTTTGCTTGCTTACACCAATCTCCTGACATACAGTTCTCAATGACAAAATGGAAAAGAATCATCTAGACCTACAAGCACCTCCTGACATGCAACCAGAGAGCATATACATGAAAGGCTTTCAGAAGCTCAGATTAAGACACTACCCTTACAAAGTGTTCTGACATTCATCGGCTCATTTGATCCTCCCCACCTTCCAGGGAGGAAGGACAGATCTTACTATTCCCAAATTTGTAGATGAGGAAACAGAAACACAGACAAGTTGTGGGCTGCCCGGAGTCACACAAGGAGTGCAAAGCGGGGTCAAGCCTCCAACCCTGGCCTGCAGACTCCCACTCCAGTGTTCCTTCCACTCTGCAATGTAATGGCAAATTCTGCTCTCCTGCATTTCAAATCCCCACATGGGCTTTCAGGGACTGTGTCCCCACTTAAAAACTAAAGAAATGAAAATGTGAGGTGGCTTCAGAAAGTTGGTGGAAACATGCAATGAAACGAGAATAGAATTTTTCCATGAATTTTTTTGAAGCCCACATATAGAGAGGCATTCCCCCTCCACCACCTCCACCCCCATCCCACTTTATCAGTCTAACAAGTGAGGGCAAGAACCAGACACTGCCTGAAATGAGACACAGGTGACTCTGTGAGTCTATGGTGTGACTAATGTGCATGGTTTTGCCACAACCTGGGTAAGTCTACTGGGGAGAAGGGGGAATGGTTTCACATAGGCCTAAAAGGAAGAGCAGGTCACTGATGCCAAAGAGCTGCTGGTTGGAAGAACATGATCTCACGAACTTGGTCATGTGGCACCAACTGAACCCATGTCATCAGCTCATAGCTTTGCCACTCTCATCCCCAGACAGCTGAAAATATGATAGTTGCTTGAAAGGCCTTGTATTTTCATCCTTGTGACAAGAGGCAGGGAGAAGGTTTTTATTTCCAGGTCAGTACTAGAACCATCAGGACATGAGGAGAAAGTGTGCTCACAAAGCAGTCACTGGTTTCAATCCCTTTCTTCAACACAATTCTTACATTTTTACAATTATTTTGATAATAGTGTTTGTTTTGTTTTGCCATTTGATAAAACTTTCTTTGTAGCCATGTGTTAAGCATAGCTTTCCATCAAGTCTGCGAAGATCTGAGGTCTGGGAATAAATTGACTTGTATTCTGACCTAACCCTGCTGCCCCCACCCCTCATCACCAGGGATTCCAGTCAGAGAATGACCAATATTTGAATCTTACCCTTCCTTCTAAGAGTCACAGCTGCCTGGAGAATAGGGTGGTTGATCTTTCTTGCTGAAATCGCCTTCCCAAAGATTTGATTTATAGAGAAATTCTCTGGGAGGCGGACTCCAGAGGCCTCGGAATGTTTCCTGCAATCTTCTTCCATGAGCGGCACCCACTATGAAAGTGAAATGACAAGGGTGGTGTGTAAGCCACTTTGAAAAGTTTTAGAAACTCTATTAAATCTGGACTGCAGGAAGACCTCCAGTGAGATGGATTGGCACAGTGGCAGCAGCAATGGGCTCAAATGTAGCGACTATTGTGAGGTTGGCCCAGGACCAGGCAGTGTTTTTGTTCTCTTGTGCATAGGGTGCTATGAGTCAGCATCAACTAGATGGCACCTAACAACAATTAAATCTGAATGTATGCATTGCCCAACAAATCCACCCTGGACACAGCCCCCAGGGAAATGTGGCACTGCAGGATAATGCACTGGACCGCGAGGTCAGTTTGAACCACACGGTCGGCAGTTCAAACTCACTAGCCACTCCTTGGAAACCCGATACAGGGTCACTATGAGTTGGAACCAACTCCACAGCACTTAACAACAACAACATGCTCATTACCAAAAGGCGTGTACAGAAACATGCTTAGCAGCACAAGTGGCTGGGAGGCGCACAGAGGGGTGTGTACAGTGCTGGCAGTTTTTAAATTTCTTGATTTGGGTGCTGGTGATACAGATGTATACAGTTTGTGAAAATTCATCAGGCACCCTTTTGTGTATTTTTCTGTTTATACAGTATACATAAATTAAAGGGTAAAAGATGACATTAACTCTGAAGATGTGGTTGTTAAAAGTGCCACTGAGTTGATTCGACTCATCGCCACCCTTATGAAGCGTTTCCGAGAAGTGGCTGGTGAGTATTGAATCTCCAACCTTGTGGTTTGAAAATACAAATTAAGCATATCATGTTTTAATTTGGGTTTTCAGAGCTCTTCCTCTAGTCATGCAAGTTTCCTAGAAGCCACACAGACCATTGTTGTTGCTAAGTGCCATGGAGTTGGGTCCAACTTATAGTGACTTAATAAACTGAGGAGAACTTAGTGGTTTTGAACTGCCAGCCTTAGGGTTAGCAATCCAGTGCTTATTGTACAGTGCTGCACAAAGACTCCACACAGACTAGTAGAAGCCACTGAGTGAGTCTGAATGGTTACGGAATTTTCATAGCAATTACTAGGAAGTCCCAGTATATACCTGAAAGTATATGTCACTGGCCTCTGTCCTTACCTTCTGAAAACATCACTGGGACTGCTTTATTCATTAAATCCTGAAGAATGCTGATTCCTAACATCACTACCATCTTCAATCACCAACTGCCTCAGTGTGTGTGTGCGTGTGTTTTAGGGTGACTGCAATGAGTTACTCTTCCACTTACACCACGTCTGCCTTCATAGTAGGCTTTTGTTTTCTATTAGGGTGGGTCCCAAGTTCTCTGACCAGGGATGAGTGGCTGTGACACAAAAAAATGTGAACATAATAACACTGTTGGATATATGTGCTTATAAAGTAAATTTTCAACAGCCTTTTTCTTGTTGTAGTTAGGTGCCGTTAAGTCAGTTCCGACTCATAGCGACCTTATGCACAAAAGAACAAAATACTGTCCAGTCCTACACCATCCTCACAATTGTTGTTAAGCTTGAAGCCATTGCTGTTGCCATCGTGCCAATCCATCTCATTGGGGGTCTCCTTCTTTTTCACTGGCTATCCCTCTTATCAAGCATGATGTTCTTCTCCAGGGGCTGTCCCTTTTGATAATGTTTCTGAAGTGTGAAAGTCGAAGTCTGGCCATCCAGGCTTCTAAGGAGTATTCTGGCGGTACTACTTTCAACACAGATTTTTCTTAGACAGGTACTAATTGGGAATCAGTCATTTTTAGATTCTAATTACGTTGTTAAAAAAAAAAAAAAAAAAATATATATATATATATATATATATAAATGCAGTTGTAAGTAACAATAATGACTAATATTTATTACCTACTTCAAGCCAAGCACTGCGCTAAGTACTCTCCATCCTTCACAATAACCTATAGAATAAGTAGCATTCTCACCCCCATTTTACAGATAGCATAACCGAAACTCAGAGAGGTTAAGTACCTTACTTGTGATCAAATATTCCCTAGATGGGGGCTATGGATCAAACCTGATACCTGACGCCAAAGCTACCCAGTATCTAGTTATTGGATCATCAGAACCAGTAGCACTGTCCTAAAAGAGCTATTCTGGCCGTTGAAATTCTGTTGCATAGATCTTCTCTTCCAGACCTTGGCAATTTTCCATTCATCAGCATGCATCTCTCTGGTTGACCCAAAGAGACAACAAGAACACTTTACAGTCGTCCTAAATACTTCTTTGTCAGTCTAGGTCAGTTTTATGAGGTGAAGAGCTAAAGGGGTAAGTAGGTAAAGAAAACACAGCTCCTCCCTCTCAGAGAGCTTATGATCAGTATATGCAAAGAATGTGTGTTCCAGGCAGTCTGTGCGTGTCCGTTTACCTGGGAAAGGGTCATCTCTCCTTTCATGAGGCGGACACTGGAACCATCTGAACCTCCTTTCTTGAAAACGTCATTTAAAAAGCCTCTGGAAGATACAAAGAAACAATAATAGCAACACCACAATGTTCACTATGGCGACATGCAGGAGACAAACATGATTTCTATTCACTGACCTCCAATATGGGCTGGGAAGTGGGGAAAAAACAGTTAGTCTACATTGGGATCTTTGTCCTTAAGGAACAATCTTGCTGGGAACATGAGACAATATGACTAAATGATTTATAATCCCCTCAAAGGTGAAGAGGTTCATGGGAGCCCACCTAGCCAACATTGTTCAGCTGAAGGTGTTTCTAGCTTTTCCACTAATGGGACAGTGTCGAGCCTAGATAAGCAGTCATTACTGTCCCCAAAACACCTTTTCTTTGAATTCCTAGTCTTCAAAAGGAATGGAACATTTTTTTTCTGGTTTCACTTTTGTACATAGACTTTCTATTTCTCTTAATCTCATCTTCCAGTTCGTAAGTTTTTACACATTAATTAACCCTGCATATGCTCCTGAGGAGTAGCAGACAGAGAGGGAGAAAGCGGGTTACCGTCTCATTTCCCTGTGCTGAATATTAAAGATCTCCCTCCACTCTAGAGTTTCCTCCCACTAGTGGGGTCTCCCCAACACGTGGCTTGCTGACCAACACCAAACAGACAAAAGGCTGGCACATGTGTGGTCTGCATGCATACTGCTGCTCTTTCACATCCCCAGCAGATTTTGATACCTATCACCACTCCCTATCCACTGATTTCAGACACTGAATTTATAATTAGTGCTCCAGGGAAAAATTTGTATTCTACTGAAATTGCAAGCCTGTTAAAATATTTCCCATTCCTGGGTCGGAGAGCAAATATCTCCAAACTGGGAGTTTCATTTCTGATAGTGGTCAATTAACTTTCATCAAACTAACCTTCATGGAAGCAGTAGTCAAGAAATCAAACAACATATTTACTGCATTAGGCAAATCTGCTGAATAAGACTTCTTTTAAGTGTTTAAGAGCAAAATGTCAGTTTGAGAACTAAGCTGTGCATGATCCAAGCCATGGTCTTTTCAATAGCCTCATATGCATGAGAAATTTGGACAATGAATAAGGAAGACCATAGAAGAATTGATGCATTTGAGTTACGGTGTTGGAGAAGAATATTAAAAGTGCCATGCACTGCCAGAATAACAAACAAATCTGTGTCATAAGAAGTACAACCAGAATGCTCCTTAGAAGCCAAGATGGCCAGACTCTGTCTCTCATGCTTCAGACAAATTATCAGGAGGGGCCACTCCCTGAGGACTTCATGGTTGGTACAGTGGAGGGTCAGCAAAAAAGAGGGAGCCCCCAAAAAGAGATGGATTGGCACAGTGGCAGCAGCAATGGGCTAAAGCGTGGCAGCAATTGAGAGGATGGTGCAGGACCATGCAGTGATTTATTCTGTTGTATGTAGGATCGCTAAGGGTCAGAACCAACTCGATGGCACCTAACAATAACAACCCTCTTGTAAGTAACAGTGATCAACTCTGGGCACAATATGAAAAAAGACACACTGTGAAGGCACTGGCAGGAGCTGAACAGGATCAAACAGCACTGGGTACAACCATGTTTGTGTAAGATTTTGTAATGAGCCCTCCCTGAAAGCATAGTGGGCCATTCATTGGGCTGCAAGTTCAGCAGTCCAAACCTACCAGCTGCTCTACAGGTCAAAGATGAGGCTATCTGCTTCCGTAAAGATTTACTGTTTCAGAAACTGTACAGGGCCCCATTATGAGTCAGAATCGACTCGTTGGCAGTGGGATTTTTTGTTTTGTTTTTGGTGGCACAGTGGTTTTGTGCCCAACTGTTCAAACCCACTAGTCACTCTGTAGGAGAAAGATGAGACAGTCTGCTTCCATAAAGACTCATAAGTTGGTCTTGTTGTTAAGTGCCATCGAATCAGTTCTGACTCATAGCCACCCTGTGTAAGGTTTCCAAGGAGCAGCTGGTGGGTTTGAACTGCCAACTTTGTGGTTAGCACTCCAGTGCTGATCCACAGCGCCACACCAGGATTTCAAAAAGTCATATACCTCCCATTATATGGAAACCCTATGGAGTACCACTGTTTTGCCCTATAGGCTCACTATGAGTTGGACTCAACTCTACAACAATGGCGGGTGTATGAGGTTTTATACCTTGGAGCACTTTCCAATTCAAGCAGAAATCCATAATCTTCCTGGCATGAAGTGAGATGATAAAGTTTGAGGCTATCCTAGGAGTAGTTGGAAAGTGAGAAGACACAGAAGGGAGAGTCCCAAATGAACTCCACTTAAATACTTAGCTGGCATTCAAGCTGTGTATACATGTAGGAGACACCATGGCTTCCAGAAAGGAGCAATAGCTATAAGTATGAAAAATGGATTGGTTCCAGCTGCTCATGATAGCAAAAGAGATAAAGTTTCGTGTTCATGTTTGGCCAAGTTAGCTGCCTGCTTAAATTAAAATAATAATAATAATAATATTCTTCAGAAGAATCCACAACGTAACCTTCTACAACTTCTACAATATTCAAAACAGCTACAATGTAATTTAAAAATACTAGGCAAGCAACTCACAGTCAAGAGAAAAAATAGTCACTAGAAACTACACAAGGTTACTCAGATGTTGGAATTGGTAGCTAAAGATCCATACATAAATATACAAATTAAATGCAAGAAAGTATGATCACAGTGAATGAAAAATTGGGAGCGCTCAGTAAATAAAGACTAAAAAACAAGTCAAAAAATGATCTATAGGGAAAAACTAATAAAAAGACAGCAGTTCAATAAAAATGGACGGAAAACTTAAACTGACACTTAAAAATGGGAGATACACAGGTAATTAGCATATACAGGAATGCGCAACCTTATT